ACTGATACTTTCTCTCCTGTTGCAAAAATGGTAACAATGAAACTTCTTCTATCCCCCGCACCGAAAATGCAGTGGTCTTTGCACCAATTGGACATCTCCAATGCTTTTCTTAATGGTGACCTTGTTGAGGAAATATATATGAAATCACCCCCAGGTTATGCAGAGTTAATGGGAATTGAGGTCTCTCCTAATGCAGTTTGTCGTCTTCATAAATCCATTTATGGTCTTAAACAGGCTTCTCGCCAGTGGGTTTTTAAGTTTTCAAGCACTCTGGTTGGTTTTGGATTTGACAAATGCCATGGAGACCATACTCTTTTTGTTAAAGAAGTTAATGGTAATTTTCTGGTGGTTCTGGTCTATGTAGATGATATACTCATTGCTAGTACCAGTGATTCTCTTGTAGCTGAGTTGAAGACACAATTGAGCTCTGCTTTCCAGCTTCGAGATCTTGGTCCACCTAAGTTTTTTCTGGGAATTGAAATTGCTAGAACTGTTGAGGGCATTTCTTTGAATCAGAGGAAGTATATTTTGGACTTACTAGAGTCAACTGGTTTTTCAGATTGTAAGCCGTCTTCTATTCCCATGGAGCCTAATCAGAAGCTTGCTCAGGATACTGGTACAGTTCTTGCTGATCCTAAACAATATAGACGTCTGATTGGTAAACTGCAGTACTTATGTATTACTAGGCCAGATATCACCTTTGGAGTCTCTAAATTGGCTTAGTACTCCTCTGCTCCAACTGATATTCATCTTCAGGCTATTCATAAAATCTTGAGATACTTGAAGGGAACTATTGGACAGGGTTTATTCTATGGTGCTGATCCTACTTTTGATTTGCGAGGCTTTTCTGACTCTGACTGGGGTACTTGTCCTGACAGTAGGCGTTGTGTGACTGGTTTTGCCATCTTTATTGGTAATTCATTGGTTTCTTGGCGTTCAAAGAAACATGATGTTGTTTCCATGAGTTCAGCTGAGGCTGAGTATAGAGCTATGAGTGTGGCTACCAAGGAGTTGATTTGGCTAGGTTATCTTCTCACTGCTCTCAGGGTTCCTTTTCGTTCTCCTGCATATCTCTATTGTGATAATGTTGCTGCATTACACATTGCCAGTAACTCTGTCTTCCATGAGAGGACAAAGCATATAGAGTTTGATTGTCATAAAGTTCGTGAATGCATTGAAGCTGGGACTCTTAAGACGATGTTTGTGCGAACTGATAATCAACTTGCAGATATATTGACTAAACCTCTATATCTATCTCTTTTTCGAGAAAACAACAGCAAGCTTGGAGTTCTTAACATATATGAAGCTCAAGCTTGAGGGGGGCTATTAGATGTATATATGATTCCGGTTTAATGTACTGGTTAAGTTACTATACATGTATACGGTTTAGTCTTTGGTTTAGTGTAGATTGTATATATACACTATTGTAACAACCTTTTCTAATTTGGGAAATATAGAAAATCATTTCACAATCTCTTCGTTCTCGTTCTCTATCATGGACTGCATGCGTGTTTGTCTGACCATTTGTATATTTTAGTTTTCGTTTATATAAGTCTCCAACAAAATGAACTAAAATAAAGAAAAGAATATAGATAAAATTTTGAGTCAATTAGCTGCATGCTAATTATTTGAGAAATAATTAAGTGTGACATACACAAGTTTTTTTGTTTGCAAAATAAGAGAGAGAAATATTTGTTTTCAAAAAAACAAGAAGAATATTCCCCTGAAATAAATGCGGGAGTTTTCCCTCTGAGAATTTCGTAGGGGACAGGGATATCATGCAATATTCTGTGGGCCTCCACTTATTAAATGCATATATCGATAATATATTATGATATGCAATTACGTATCGTGATATCTTGTTTTTTATCGGATACATGGATATATATCTTACATCGTAATATTTAATAATGTTGTTTACATATGATATATGCCTATAGATATATCACTATATTTTCTGATATATCACTATATATCATGATATAGCAATATATTTCATAATATATCAATATATATCATGATATCTCAATATATAATATGATATATGTTAAAATATCGTGATATATAAATATATATCATACATCGTAATATTCTATTAATATTGTTTACATATGACACATCACTATAGATATATCACTATATATCTTGATATATCACTATATATCCTGATATAATATGATATTCACTATATATCATGATATAACAATATATGTCATGATATATCAATATATATATCATAACATATATCATGATATCTCAATATATAATATAATATATATTAAAATATCGTGCTATATAAATATATATCAAGGTTTATAAATATATCTCATGATATAACGATATCTGATATTTGTTATCATCTCTAACAGAAGCTCAATAATAACGAACGACACACATTCGTGACGTCTTGGTATCAAGAGTTCGATGAGGTTCATGGTATGCATTTTGATCAGAAAAATCTAATCAATTTAATGAATTCAGAATATCATAATTCAGGATACAATCAATTTTAAGAAAATTAGAGAGAGTCATATGGAGTATTTCATAAAGTAAAGAAAAGAAAATGAATAAAGAATTGAAGAGAGAGAAAGCGAAAGAAAGAAGAAGGAAGAAGAAAGCAAATAAGAAGAAATGATGCGTTTGATTTGAGGGATATTATTGTCTTTTCTCCATGTTTTCAAAAGACACATTATTTACGAACGTGCTACTGCTCCTTTGACTTAAATACTTTGTGGTCTTAGGGTATGCAGTATAATTACTCTAAAATTTTGAATTAAATTTAATTTTAGACACCGACTCTAACTGGTACAAGGTTTATCGTTTTAGCAATTACCAATCATAAAGCCAATACCAAAAACATTATCAAAAATATAATTTTTATCGTCATTTTATAACCTTTTTAATTATTTTGGTATCACTTACCATTTTTTATTTGCTAAAAATTTGTACTTTGTATCATCGATCCATTGTGTTTTCTTAACCGAAATTGTTTAAAAGTGTTAGAGGTGGTATTTGTTTTGGAACGGGTGGTACAACTGAATGACCTCATCCTCACCTAGATCTCGGATGGAATGTTACGGTCTGCCCAATCAAAATGGTATTTCTTGTGCTACCAATTAAACTTGGTATATACGTGTACTTCTTTTTTTTTTTTTGTCAAACATACGTGTACTTCTATCTCATTTGTTTTCGTCATCAAATTGTACTTATTGTTTAGATGTCATCTTTATTATTTTGCATTTAGATTTGTTATAAGAAATGTTTGGTAATAATATGACATCGACATAAAAACAAAATAAAAGGTGTAAAGAGGGAGAGTGACTATAGCATTAAGGGACAGAAGTGGTGTTGCCACATACGTAGGTTTTTGCTCACATGTGTTATGCAATTTCGTCCACAACTTTTGTTATTTTTCCAAAAATATTTATAGTTGTTTGTTATGGTTTTAATTTCTTATTCAATGCTACTAATTACCTGCCGACGTTCCACCATTTTATTCCAATTTATTAAATTATACTATATGTCTACACTACATATGAAACTATATTTTGCTTCGTAATTGTGGTTTACCATCTAAAAGATCTCCAGACTTGTATAACTACTGTTGTCTATAGTAGTAACTGATAACTAAGACCATCTGCATTGGGGGATCACCCCCCCTGATCTAAGCATTATTTAAATCCAAAAAAATGGGTCAATGGGCTTAAGATCAGGAACTGGGCTCTTGACCTGGATCTGTTCTTGTGGGTGTTGCGGGGTGACGTGGCATTTGGGCATTGGTTGGAATATTCAACATATTTGGAATAAATTTGGATAATAAACTATGTATTAATTAGATAAAATGTTTTTGTGCTTTTATTAAGTAATATGTTTGTTTGTTTATTGTTATTTATATTTTTAATGTTTTTTTCATAAATATTTAGTATTGTATTTTCACTTTTATTTTCAGTTTTTCATAAATTTGGCATTTGCAATTTATATGTTATTTTTAAATGTTTTAATAATTGTAAAATCTTAATTTAATTTAGATTATTATATTATTAAGTCTTAAGATCTTACACATGTTCTCCCACTAATCAACTTCTAAACAAAAGATCTAAACACATTATCTTACATTATTTTAACATTATATTCTCTATAAGAACACCCTCACATGATCCCCCATTGATGATGCCCTAATGTGATACTTCCTCCGTTTTATAAAGAGTGTCGTTTTAAGGTTTTATTTTTGTTTCACAAAAAGTGTCGTTTTAGGTTTTTAATGCAAAATTTAATGATTTTTTATGTTTTATGACTATTAGTATTCTGCAGATTGTTTTACTATTGGGCAGATTATGTTTAGGTATATAGTTAATGATGTTTTTGTTTAGAAAAAAAAAAAATTTAATGTTTTCTTAATCTGTGTGCAAAACTATAAAATGACACTCTTTGTAAAACAGAGAAAGTATTATATAAAAAAGATAACAGTAAAAAAAAAAAACAATGAATATAAATATGAGAAGAAATTATATAGAGAAAAAAAAAAGAGAAACAGAGAATGGGAAGATGGGAAACAGCTGTCAAATTATGTCGGAAGAGTTGACTTAGGTTGGAAATTCTGACAAAACAGGCAAGACTTTAGCATTAGTGTGTCTAAAGACTTTGGTTGGACCACACTTTTTCAATTATTTAGCGAAACTTGGCTCTCCCCGAATTACTAAAGATTTCCTTGTCCCCCTTCATATTTTGAGATACTCATAATAATCAACGTATATAATATTTCACTAACAATTTTAAAATCCAACTATGTAGTATGTGATTTATATACACTTAATCATGTCATTATTTGCATTTGATATTTGTTATGTCCCATATTATCTAATAGTTTGAGCTAATGTACTCTTATCTATCAGCTGGATTCAAATTAAATTTGATATATTGATGTGAACAAAAAAAAAAAACTTGACCAAACGAAGAAAAAGATTTTTTTTTTTATATATAAATCATAATTAAATAATGAAATCTCAGATCGACTAGGTGTATTTATATTCGGTATATGTCTATCACAAACTTCTCACTTTCTCTCTCTCTCTCACAGAGCCAAGAACATGAAGCAAACTTTGTGCCTCGCAGTGTGTGTTCTCTTCCTCATTTTATCAACAAGCTCATCTGCAATTCGAAGAGGTATGTTGAACACAGTACTGATTAGTTTCTCAAAATTAATATTATCAATACCAAAATCATCTTCCAACTCTAAATCTTAATATATAATCAGGAAAAGAAGATCCAGAGATAAATCCATTAGTTTCAGTTACACCAGTGGAAGAGGACTCAGTTAATGTAAGTCCATATAAAATTTTTCCCTAAATTAAATAAACAATTTGCTTATTTAATTTTCCTAAAACCATATACAACCACCTCAAAATATGTTTTCAGATGCATACCAAGAAACATTTTCAAAGTTGATTTTCTTAATGATATTTCATAGTAATGTTCTACTTTCTTAAATTGAAAATTGGACTTGAAAGAAATCAATATTTAGTCTGCCATTTCACTTTTAATAAAAAATAAGATAAAATAGAAGATATGAGAAACTGAATGGTGTATTTTTATTTCATCCCATTTGTAATAAATAAGTATCTCCTACTAGAAATTAAGGAACATTAAAGTAGTTAGTAAATTACATGCAGCCTCGGAGATAAATATTTTAACCTGTGAGTTTTTTTTTTTTTTGTCTTTATAAAAATAGAAATTGATGGGAATGGAATATTGTGGAGAAGGAGATGAAGAATGTTTGAAGAGAAGGATGATGACGGAATCTCACTTAGACTACATTTACACACAGCACCATAAGCATTGACATTAATTGTTAACATTTTAATTAATTTGCATACAAATATGTATGTGTATGTTTTGTGTTAATGTTACTTAGCTATATATGTATTGTATATGAGTCCTATGTGACAAAACAGCTCCAAGAAACCAATATTTTGGTTTTTAATTAGAGAAAAAAATGTTGATTGAATTAATTGTTTCAAAACTTGTTAAGAATGTGCAAATACTTTCAAAACTTGTTTCAAGTATAGAACATAGGGCTGGACATGGTACAGATCTTCAGTGATTCGCTCTGTTTTCACCAGATATCTACTTGTCCGTTAGATTTGCTTCGATGACGATTACAGCAATTTAAAGGGTAAAGAAGAACCTCAAGAAGAATAAATATATCTTTTGCGGCGTGGGACACTCGTTCTTATGATAAACGGTTCAATCTCGGTCACAACTATGGAGTAAAAGGACATGGAAAAATCCAGAAATCCCAACTTCAAAATGTACAAAGGATATGATGTGTGTGTTAGAGTAAAATTCTTTAGAGGTAATTGAGAAAGTGTTAAAATATTTGAGAGAGAATTTTAGAGAGTAGAACTTTTATTACTTTGCTTTTGTTTAACTTGAAGACAACTTCACAACAACACTACAAATGAGAGGGGGAGGAACCAAACTACAAAATATCTAAAATATTTTAATCCTAAATCTAGAGAGTTCTTATGATAAACTCAAATGGTGAAAGGTGGTGATGCACTTGGTCAACAGTATAACACTCCCCACTCTGTGAGTCTCTCCCAAGTCCCAACCCTTGCATTCATCTTACATCCATTGTTAGTATTTTAGTCGGAAATATAATGCTGATTGCTCTTTTTCTTTGTTCAGGTGATTACTGAGAGGGGAAGTGGTATTATAATTTATAATCGTAGGACAGGGAATCATAAAGGCGAAAAACCCAGCAGAGACGGTTCATGACTCATGAGTATAGAGTACAAGGATGGAATGCATACTTGAAGAAATGCTCTCAGTAGATTTGATCCTGAGAGATGGCTGAGGTTTTTGTTTTTGTGTTCTAGTGATATAAGATTGTTCTAGTTTTTGTGTGATTTATGTGAGGATGGATTTAAAGACTCATGTCTCGTTGATTGTTCACTTGATTCTCATTTCTCGATAATAATAAAGTGATGCGTGGAGGGTAGTTGATCCCTTATGATTTTGTACGTTTGATCAAAAAAATATTTCGGTGGTCACACAATTTATGGATCCTTTGGATTTGGTTGAGGCATTTTATCAAATGTTTAAAATTACCTAATTTTTATTTTTATCAGAACTCAATTCACGCAATGATTCTAAAAGTTTGATTTCCAAACTCTCTACACGTATTATTCTCGTTATAGCCCATTCCAACAAACCCAATTACTTCTTACTAATTGAAATAATGAATTTTTTTTTCTTTTCTCAAAGAAGCATGTTTGAACGCCTTCAAAAGGCTGGACATTATATATGTAGTAATACTTTCCACCCAATATAAGATGCATCCCCATATCTCTTGTTTCACGTCTAACATTTCTACAACAAGAAGTTGCTTAATGGCGTTGATAAGTCGAGCAAAATAGGTCCATTCCACGAGAACAATCTTCTTCGACCATATGTTTTTTTTTATGTTCTTGATGGCATGGAGCATTCGGATGGTAGCTCTTACCGCAATGACCTAGAATTACTTCTTACTTGAAATAATGAAAAATAAGTTTTTTTTTCTTTTTCAAAGAAGCATGTTTGAACGACTTCAAAAGACAGGACATAATGTGGTAATGCTTTCCACCCAATATAGGATGCATCCCCAAATCTCTTGTTTCCGTCTAGGCATTTCTATAACAAGGAGTTCCTTAATGGCGTTGATGAGTCGAGCAGCGAAATATTTCAGAATTTTGTTTGCAACAAATTATTTCAGAAATTATATATTCATTGCAACGAAATATTTCAGAATTTTTTAGTTAACAACTTCTATTCTTTTTGTTCTTGTTCTTTCTGGATTCTAAAACTAAAATAGAAGATTGAGGTGAATCATAAATTCAGAAGAGGTTTCATGGCCAAGGTAAAGATGTTAAGAGTAACAATTATTTTGGAATGTACCAGTAGTTTTCGAAATTATATTAAGAAAGCATCGGCGGGAATGTACAACACCCCTAGTCGATTGGAATTGAAAAAATTCTGTCCATATTGTTGTAAACATACAATTCACGGGGAAATCAAGAAATATATCAAATTGAGTGCTTGTATATCAATTTTTATTTTAAGAAGAAGAATAATGCTAGTATCTATATATATGTATGTATATATAAATCAATAGAAATAAATCTAATCTCATATTCTTAATTCTATATAGAAACTCTATCCTATATTCTTAACTAACCATATGCTTTTTATGTTCTTGATGGTCTAGAGCAGATGGTAGGTCCTACCGCAATGACCTAGATGTTGAAGTTTCTATATAATCATCTATAAAAGTTTTTAAGAAGAGGTATTTAATCTGTCACATGTTTTATAATGTTATCTTAATTATTGGCTGCTTCTTTGATTATTACAGTTATCCCACTAAAGATGTTCCGGAAAGGATTGGGATAATAACCGCTTACAAACATAAACTCAACATTTTTGCGCTATCATGTCTTTGAAAGAATTTGGGTCTCAAGAAGTGGAAGTTGATATTGTTGATGCCTTTCAAGGCAGAGAATTGGACATTGTCATTCTATCAACTATAAGATTTTCACCTACTCATGGGTAAAATCTATACTATTGTTTAGTGCTAGATATCCTCGGAAAACTACTTTTCATCCTATATTCCCTCGCATCTAAAGTTGAACCTCAGTACTCACAAACCTTGGTTTTGGTTGGGTTTACGATGATGGCGACTACAATAAAAATATAAAGAAGATGATGACGATATATGTTTTTGCATCTAGCCTACAAGCTTAGTTTGTATCTAGACATTAAGTCCAAATTCATGTATCTCTAGCTTTCAATTTTTTCAGCAAATGTTTTCATAACTATGTACCCAAAAACGTTATTTTTTCTTGAATATAATTTAACATTACATTCAAAAAAAAAGATGACGGTATACGTTGGCGATGAATATATATGATGATGACTGCAAGATGATCAATGTTTCTCTTTTTTCTTTAAAAATATTAAATATCACAAGTACCATACAAAATCCAATTAATATCTCTGAAGTCATTGGTCATTTATCTTTTAAAAAGTAAAAAAATAACCAAATTAATCTAAATATTTTAAAAACTCACTTAAATCTCTCCAAATCTTATAAAATTGTAATTTCGACAAATCTCCTCAAATTCCAATTCCAATGCATTCCTTTATATTTATGTATTTATAGTATAATATTTTACCCAATGCATTTTCTGACGGTTTTTTAATCTTTTATGTGATTGTTTCTAAAATATGGGTCCTTAGTTGAAACTTTTGCGGGAACAATTGTGTATCATCCACTCTTGATACTCGGAAACGTTATAAAGGCAAGATATATCTGAATATTTTCCATAATCATCAAAAATATTATTTCCATATCTTTTTTTTAATTTAAAATAATTTGCGTATATATATATATATATATATATATATATATATACATGTATGCATATGTTTTTGTGGGAAAAATGGGTAAAAAACCCTCAGCTTTCTTAAGAACATATAAAAAACCCTCAACTTTTTTGTGGGTTTTTAAACCCTCAACTTTTTTTGTGGGTTTTTAAATCCTCACATTTTCATAAATGGTAAAATAAATGCTATTATTAATAAACTTAATTTAAATTCAAACATATCGTTATATTAAAACATAAATAAATATAAACAATTTGATTTAGAGTTTTTCTTCTAAGATTCTAGTTTACAATCTTTTCGAAATTGAAGATTTTTAAGTCATGATGTAAAAAAGTTAATTAATAGTTGGTGTCGGATCTCGCGATCCATCTGACCCGGAGAATTTGTAAGCCTCAGGTTAATGGGCCAGACAAAGAGAAAGCCCAACAACTCATGCAGTTGGCAGGCCTAGTAAAAAGGCCTACTAATTCCGAACCGTTACTTCGGGGAGTTATGTGACCTCGCGAAATAATGAGGAGGCGTTGTGTAACACCCCTACTAGTGAGCACCCACGTCCTCTCTCGGGCTTGTGGGCCCTACTCCTATCCGTCCGGGAGGATTTAAAGACTTGTTACCGATCCTACAAATCACCACATGATCTTTTTCTGTGTTTTGTCCTCACTAACACAGTTCCGACAATCACTTTCCGGAAGGTCATCCATCCTGAAATTGCTCCAACTCAAGCACCCTTAACTGGGGAGTTCTCTCAGGATAGTTGACCGAAAAGATAAGTGCACTTTGGTGATATAGGTGGTCAAATCAATTCTTTTAACCTCTTTGCATGCACCACCACATTTCTGAAACTGGGGTGTTACAATTTACCCCTAATAACTGATCGCAACGTCCTCGTTGCGCACCAAGACCGTCACTCCCTACGGTGTGAGCCCTCTTGACCCCACACACATTTGGGTTCGGCTCTGATACCACTTGTAACGCCCCGACCGCCCCTACCAGTGAGCACCCACGTCCTCTCTCGGGCCTGTGGGCCTACTCCTGTCCGACGGTCGGTCCGCTACGTCCGAGAGGATTTAAAGACTTGTTACCGAACCTAACAATCACTACATGATCTTTCCCTGTGTTTTCTCCTCACTCACACAGTTCCGACAATCACTTTCCGGAAGGTCACCCATCTTGAAAATGCTCCAGCTCAAGCACCCTTAATTGTGGAGTTCTCTCTGGACAGTTGACCGAAAAGATAAGTGCACTTTGGTGACATAGGTGGCCAAATCAATTCTTTTAACCTCTCCGCATGCACCACCACATTCCTGAAACTGGGGTGTTACACGTTGATCGCGGGATGTGTTGACTCGAAGATTCGAAACGGACACATCAATGAATGACAAAAATAACGGTGTGAAAATAGCATGCATTTAATGACCTCGGGTTCGAATTTGTAATATAAAGAGTGACATAGGGGGATTGTAAAGGGGATCGGAAAACTTTATACCAGAATCAATTCAATCACTTTTTTCTAAGCTTTCTTGTTTTATAATGATCGATATTCGACCCGCCGAGACTAGAGACCCGTATAAGATCGAGGAAATTATCA